CCGTCCACCCTCCTGGACCCACAGGCTGGCCTGGGGGGCCCACACCTGCTATGATGCTCCAGGGGGCTCCAGGCATCTCTGAGCCCCCAAGGCCCAGAGCACACTGTGTTCAGTGCTCAACAACTCTGCTGGGCCAAATCCCAATCTCTGGGAGCAGGTCCTGCCAATAAAACCAAGGCTAAAAGCAAGATTCTGGGGCTCCGGGACATTCGAGGTTTGCAGTTTTATTAAGAAAACAAAAACATAACCATACAAAAAGGAGAGTTCTGTTCCTATGGTGGCACGCAGTGTGGGCGTGGGGGGGGCTCCGAGTCCTCCAACAGCCCAGCCCGAGTCTCTGCGCCCGCTAGGCGTCCTGCTGCTGGATGAAGGGGTTGGGGATGGCCTCCATGCCGTCCTGAGGGCAGATGAGCACCACGGATGTGCCCCTGCACACCACCAGGCCCAGCTGGCGGGTGTCCTCTGTCAGCTTGTACTGGTCGTCGGGGTCTGCAGAGCAAGAGGGAGGGGCAGGAGTAAGACGGCCCCCAGGTGGCTTCCGGGACCTGAGGGATGGCGGCATGCTAGACGGGGGTGGGACATGTGGCTCTAAGGACCTTGCCGGCTCAGGCAGCAGGCTAAGTGCCTCACCCTACTCCCAAAGGAGAACTTGGTGTGGGAGATGCTGGGTCATGATGCTAATTGGGGACCCCGGCACCTGAGCCAGCAGAGGTCCTGGGACCACGTTAGGACATGCAGCTGGAATAAAAATCAATCTGGCGCCGCTTGTCCCAGGTCCACAAGCAGTTAGGGGTGGGATAGGAGATCCCCACGGCAGTGACAGTAGCTGAAAACAGCGATTGCTTTTGCAGGATGTTGGGGGAGGGCCAGGTGGTCCAGTGCGCCAGAGGCCAGGTCGGGTACAGCTCTTCCCCAACAGATGGTGCAGCAGTAACCAGCGTTCTGGGCCTGATCCCTCCTGGAACCCACTAGGGGGGCTGTCCTGGGACTGAGACAAGAGGGCGTGGGCTCCCGGGGCCACATGGGCCGGCGCACACCAAAGTGACTGGCTTGCTTCCTCTTGCGGGGTTTTCCCAATGGACCCACATGGTGGGGCTGTCCTCTCACGAAGGAAGACATCTGGCCCGGGGGGCGGGGGGGGGAGCAGCATGGTGAGCCGATCTGACCTCTCGTGGACCCAGATGGGGAAGGGAGAAAGAGGGCACACAGGAGGCCTGATGGTGCTGGCTGTTGAGCTGCGGCCACGCTTCCCCTACAAAGCGGCCTCTCCAGCAGTCCTGCTGACGTCGCCAGAGTAACAGACAGTCCCCTGCCTCCCTCCTAGGTCTGGGCGTCTCCTGAATGCCTCCCGAGAGAATGTGCCGGCAGATGGGCAGGCGCTGCGGAGGGTCCGGGGACTCGGGGTGACAGGGACACGCAGGGACACCAGGGGACAAGGGAGACCGGCTCTCTGGTTTGTGAGCACCGCATCGGTCACACAGGGGTGGCTTGGGGGGTGTGGGGCAGGAGAAATGCCCCGCAGGGAGCTGCTGCACCCCGGGGCCGTGCTCACCTCTCATGTACTCCACGGTGCCGTCAAGCACGAGATTGAGGAGTGGGTCGAACCCCTTCAAGATGCCGCTGGCTTGGAGGAACACCCAGAAGAGAAACGGAAAGGAGTAATGAGCAGTGGTTCTGGGGACAGGTGCACAGAGGCGGGGGCACCCCGCCCCCTGGCAGGGGGCTCAGCCCCAGCACGGTGCAGACGTGGGGAGTGGCCTCTCCAGGGAAGGGGAGCCACAAGGACCCCAAACCACCCCCACCAGAACATGGTGGCAAACGTCTCCTGCAAAGGGCCAGCGGCTGGCCACCTCTCCACAGTGTAAGCCACACGCTCTCCGTGGCAGCAACCACGCGCTCGGCCTGGGGTGGGGGGCAGCCAGGCGACTTGCAGACACTTGGATACACAAATGTGCATTATGGCTTCAGTTTCTCAGATATTTGAAACCCTAAAAACCGTTCTCAGCTCACGAGCCATACGGAAACCAGCAGTGGCGCGCATGCGCAGAGGAGCGGCGCCTACACGGCCAGAGGGACGCGCCCCAAAGCCCTGCCCCTCTGGCCTTCAGGCCTCCCCGCCCAGGCACAGCTGGCGAAGCAGGGTGCCCCCACCACGCTCCACCGCGCCGCTGTAGTGTCTGCGGGGAGTACGGGGCCGGACGGGACCGACGGCTCCGCGCACCACGGCGTGCGGGCCAACCCGGCCTGCTGCGCTCCTGTGAGCAGCTTCACCGGCTCACGGCGCCTTCATGCCTCCATCCTGTCGGGGACCGGCTGTGGTAGGAGCAAGTAGCCTTGACCGAGATCGCCCGGCCCTTTACAGGAAATGTCTGCAGCCTCGGACTTGCCAGGCTGGACCCCTGGCTCTGTGCCTTCCCCTCTCCCCGAATGACCTCCCCTCCACCCGCAAGACAAAGGTCCCGAGGACACTTTCCCGACGAGCTTATTGGCAGCGGGCACTGTGGCCGCAGCTGCGGGTCTGCCCTCCTCCGTGGGGCACGAGCAGAGTTCTAAAATGGGGCTGACGTGCCCCACCCCGGTCGGTGACCACCCAGTGGAGCCCCTCCTCTCAAGTGTGGGAGGGAACCTGTGAATAGGACGGGATGCCACTCCTGCCATTAGGTTACAGGAGGATAAAGACGAAGGAACAGGCACGTGTGATTACGGTCCCAGAATCAGTGCCCTCTCAGCTCACCTAAAGAGATTCTGCTCGGACGGCCTGACCTCATCAGATGAGCTCAGGGGAACAGGAACTGTGTCAAAAAATTCAAAGCACGAGAGGGATCTTCCCACTGGCCTTGAGGGAGCAAACTGCCATGCTGTGGACAGTGCTGTGGCCAGGGCCGGCGGGCAGCCTCTAGGACACCTGTAGCAGAGCTCGGGGATGCTGGTCCTACAGGGGTAGGCCCCTCGCAGGGGACCAAACCCTGCCCACAACCAACAGGGCCTCTGAGACACTCCTTTAGTGCAACCTGAGCCCCTAAGCCCAAGGCACCCGGACTCCTCCTGACAAATGCCACAAGACAATAAATTAATGTTGCGTAAGCTGCTAACGTGGTGGCAACTTGCTAAACAGCGTAGAAAACCCATACGAGCACCCTGAGAACCGAGAGCTGTGTCTCATTCACGGGTCCCAGGGCCAGCACCGCGCAGACAAAGCAAACATCTGTTGGGGTTCAAGTTCTCACCACTGCGGGCTACCTAGACTTGCAGGCACCGCGCTGTTAACCACGCCGATGCTACCCAATCGTCCACATCTCAGGGAGAAGGGATCTGGGTCGCTGTCTCATGAAACGCAACGAAAGCAAAGAGGCAGCTGAAGAAATGAAATGTTGCTCAAGTGCTCGCTTGTGTCAGAAACCACATCGAAGGCACCTCCAACCCTGTGATCCTCACCACCGCCCGGTGAGGTGGGGGGAGTGAGGAAATGGAGCCTTGGGGGGCGGGGTGAGCTGCCCTAAGTCCCACAGCCAGTGCGCCAAAGAGCTGCGACTAGGCACTAGGACCCCAGAGGCCACACTGCCTACACGCACCAGCAACACTGGGCCCGGGTCCTGCCCTCCTCACTATTCCAGGGGGAAGATGCAGAGGTCGGTGTCGTGTTTACTGCGTAAAGCGGGGAACGGTGACAGACGGTACCAGGAGCTGACACCAAAGGCGTGGGGCCCAGGGTGGAGGGTCAGGGAAGCCTTCCCGGAGCAAGAATCCTGAGCTGAGAGCAGAAAAATGACTGTGGAGTTAACCTGGAGTTAGAAAGAGAGACTCCCAACGGTGTCACTCGTGCCAATCCCCGGCCACCCCACTGAGGCCTCACACCTAACCTGGCCGCACCTGCAGCTCTCCCAGGAATGCAATCTCCACCAGTCAGCCTGGAACTTCCAGGCCAGCCCTCCCGAGCTAACCCCCAGCATCCCCCAGAGGAGGGGGACCCTGCCGGAAGCGATCCAGCGTCTGCTCCTGCACCCTCCGGCTACGAAACCCTCCGGGGCTCCGCGCCGTCTCCTAGGCGGGGTGCTCCCTGGCTCGTGAATAGTGGGAGAAAGCCCACGAGATCTTTGAAATTCACCCAGCGAAGCCTTGTGTTTTAAGCCTGGTAAGAGCCCGGCGGGAGGGTGCACGTCAAGCCTGGTGGCAGCTGAGAGCTCCGCAAGGCTGCCCCTTCCCCGGGAGGGACCGGGCGGCCCAGAGGGGGGCCCACCTGTGTTTAACAGGCCCCTCTGGGCCATCCTTGAGACCGTGGGGGCCGCGGCTCGCCAAGGGAGAGGCCTGGTTGGGGTGCCCAAGCTAAGGCATGTCCTGGCATCCGGCGGCACCCGGGGGTTGGCTGCTCCCCTCCCCCCAGCGCCCCGACAGCCCCGAACAATCTGGCGTCAGGGTCACGAGTGCGGAGCCCAAGGAGCCGGGGCGGGGGTCAGTGACCAGCGGGGCGCAGCGGGGACGGCTGCCTCGGAGGAGGGGGCGCTCGGGGCGAGGACCCCGCCTGCGCCTCGGCCGCTTCGGGGTGTTTGCAGCCCCTCCCGTGCCTCAGTTTCCCCGCGTGCACGGCGTCGGACGGAGGCCGTCGCGAGTCCTCCCAGCAAAGCGCTCCGGCCGGCGCCCGGGCATCCGCCTCCCTGCTCGCCTCCCGGAGCCGTCGACGGGGAGCGGGGGGCGGGGCGGGGGGGTCTCACCTTCGCGGCCTCCCTGAAACTTCACCCGAATCGTCTTGTCGATGTACTTCGACAAGTCCAAGATGCTCTCTTTTTTCTTCTTCTCTTTGTCCTGCGGGGGAAGCAGAGCGCGTGAGGCGCAGAGCGCGGCCGGGTCCCACGCCGCCCGCCCAGCCGGCCCCGCCGCGCGCTCACCGCCATCTTGCCGCCGCGCGCCGCTCTGCGCAGGCGCCGCCGCGCGCCCTTTGACCCCGCCCCCGTGCGCAGGCGCGGAGCGCACACGGCGCAGACGCGTCGGGGCGCGCCGGGGCGTTGCTGGGAAACATCTGCCGACGCCTGCGGCTCGACCCGGCCGACATGGCGGCGGCGGCGGCGCTGGCGGGGCTCGCGGCGGCCTTCCTCCTCCTCGCGACCCAGGTGAGGCTGCGTCGGCCCCGCCGGCCCCGCCGGCTGCGGCGCCCGGTCCCTCCGCCCCGGGCCCCGCGCCCCGCGGGAGCCCCGCCCGGCCTGGCCTGGGGGCCAGCCTCGGGTCTGCTCGCCCCCCGCGCGGTGGCCCGCGGGCCGGGAGCCGGGCCGTGACCTTGCGGGCCGGCCGCCCCCGGAGCCCTCCCCAGCCGCAGCGTCGCCCAGTTGCGCCCGGGTCTGAAGTCCGGGAGGCCCCCCGGCTCCCCAGGCCCTGCTCCGTCCCGAGGTCCCCGGCCGCCGCCGGGACGCCCCCCGCCTGGCCCCCAGCCTCAGTTTCCCCTCCCGCGCGATGTTAGCGCCCACCCGCGTGGTTGCGGTGAGCCGTCCGGCGTGGCCCCCGGTTCCCCACAGGGAGCGGCCGAGAGCCCGCGTCCCGAGTGGGGTCCAACCGCCGCCCCGTGTTCTGTCGCGCGACCTTGGGCAAGGGAGGCCCCCGCTTCGGGCGTCAGTTGCTCATCTGCAAAAGGAAGACTTCAGTGAGGACTCGGCGGTGATGCTCATGGGGTGACAGGTGCAGCGTGCTCCTCCTTGGGCACCTAGGGTCAGAGGTCTCCGGGCCAGCGGGGGGCCTGCTGCCAGCCGGCGGGCGGGTGGACATCCTCCTAAGCGCACTTTGTATTTGCAGGTCCTCCCTCCCCGGTTCCCTGGGTGATGCAGCTCAGGGAGCGGTGTCCCGTTAACCTTGAGCTTCCGGCCGCAGGCCCCCATCTCTCTCCTGTAGCCTCCGGTGGCCACTTGCGTCTCGCACACCCCCCAGTCCATGGGCGGCACAGCAGGAGGGATGTCTCTGAAAGTGTGTCAGGTCTGGTTGCATCCAGATGAGAGCCGCCCCTCGGCTTCCAGCGCGTGTGGGAGGCCTCTGTGGTTGGGCGGCTTGGGACGCTTCCCCTCCTGTTCCTAGTTTGCTGAAGGCGCTCCGCCTCCTTCTGGTCTTCCCGTTTCCCCGGAATGCCCCTGGTCATCCTTGTGGTCTCAGCTTAGTTCTTCCCTGTCCCCACCCCCCTCCGAGAGGCTCCCTGGGAGGCCCCGTCCCCCGCTGTTTGCCACGGCCCTGTGCTTCCCGGGACCCTGCTCCGTCATTTTCCTCGGCACTCCCTCGGCCAGTTGAGGGCGGGGACGTTTTGAATGAGAGCAAAGTGAGAAGTGGACGCAGGGTAACGGGAGCACCGTGGAGGGACGGACCCAGTTTGCTTGGGAAGGCGTTTCAGAAGCAGTGGCACCTAAGGGGTGTTCTGAAGGGTGAAGAGGAGTTGCCAGGTCCGGATGGCAGAGGGAGGGTGTTGCTGGTGACGAGCAGCGTGAGCGGGGGTGAAGGTGTGAAGAGCTGATGACTTATTTTGAGCAGGTGAGGAGTCCGCTCTGGCTGCCGTGTAGGGTGGTTTAATGGTTACGACCTGAGAAAGATGACACCCCAAAGGAGGCCCTTCAGGTGCATTTGAGGGAGGCTGGGATTTCCTCTTCAGCTGAAGGGGGTTGTGCAACAGTAGGCGAGGCTCCGAGGCCAAGGGTGAGGGGCAGGCCAAGCTGTGGCCTCCCCGGGCTGGGGGCCGGGCGGGGCGGTCAGGGGCAGGTGTGGAAGGCTCACGGTGCTCAGGCGTCTGGACTTTCTCCCCGGCAGGCTGAGGGTTTTGAACTTTGCCCTGTGCGTGAGCAGAGGACAGTGTCCAGGTGTGCAGTGAGAGCGCTCGTGCTGACCCTTCATGGACCAGGGCCTGCGTCTGTGTGTCTGTTTGCCCCAAGATAGGACAGATGGCTTTGTGGTGGGCGGGTGTGCTTGTTTGTGGAAGTTTGGGTCTTGGTGCCTGGGAATAGGACCAGCTTTCCACTGCGTGGGACGCTGCTTGCGGGCAGCCCTAAATTCATTTGCTACCATTTTGTGACCCTGGATGAGGAATCCCCTAAATGTACCCATTTCCCTGGTACATAAAGGCTGGAGGGGGGGCTGTTACTCAGCAGATCTGAAGTAATGTCAGCGCCCTCACCTCCTCCTTCCTCTCTTCTCCCCGTCCTGCACCTGTCCTCCCCACTCCTCCTCCACTTCTCCCCCTCTGCCCCCTGTCCCCCCCCACTTCTCCTCCACCTGCTCCCTCTACTACCTGCCTTCCCCTCCTCCACCTGTCCCTCCTCTGGCTCAACATCTCTTTCCAAACTTCCTGTGTTCTCATTTCTCCATCTTCTTAGGGAACTTAGCAAGTCTTCGAAGGATGACTGCTTCCAGCCGGAACCCATGAGCTTTTCTCAAACCCCCAGATGTGGAATGCCTTCATGGTCACCCCAGAGTGGGGTTTCTCTAGAAGTTCCTGAACCTGCTTGGTGATTGTGATGTGTCAGAAAATGGCCTGTCTGGTAATCCCAGTGATTTCTGGCTCTCCAGATGGGGATGGGCCATGCTAGACTGACGGGCATGTGCAGCCTTGGGTCCTTTTGAAGAACTTCTGGTTCCTTTAACTCCGTGGGGAGGAAACTGTATTCTGGCATTTGACATGTACACGGGCGGATTTCCTGGTGGGAAGCGGATTGTGCAGATTGTGGGGAGAGGTCCATGAGGTGGGCTCCTGTGCTTTCAAATGACCTTTTAAAAGAGAAGCAGCTTCTACCCATTCCTGTTTTACACAAATGACACTTTTTTATCCACAACCTGGACCGCACAGAACAGGGGTTAGCAAGCGTGTCTGTAAAAGGCCAGACAGCGAATATTCCTGTCTTTGTGGGCCACACGGTCTCCCTGGCAACCTTGCAGCTCTGCAGTGGTAGCTGAGACCAGCCAGAAGCCCTGCATGCAGAATGGGGCAGCTGTGTTCCAATAAATCTTTATTTAGATGCACAGGTGGGCCACATGAGGCCCGTGGGTTGAGGGATCTTACATTCTCCACATTCATCTATGGTAAGGAGGTGCCAGGGGGTTCTGAGCATGGGGTGACTCATTAGAAGGCACAGCGCTTAGGGCCAGGTTGAGGGGTGCCCTTGGGAGACAGTTTGGCAGGGAGAAAGGAAGAGAGGGCTCCTTTTTTTTTTTTTTTTAAAGATTTTATTTATTCGTGAGAGGGACAGAGAGAGAGAGAGAGAGGCACAGGCAGAGGGAGAAGCAGGCTCCATGCAGGGAGCCCGATGCGGGACTCCATCCCAGGACTCCAGGACCACACCCTGAGCGGAAGGCAGGCACTAAACCGCTGAGCCACTCGGGGATCCCCAGGAAGAGAGGGCTCCTAATCTGCCCCTGGTGGAGGAAATGACACAGGAGGCGCAGGGAGGTTGTCCAGGGCAGGTGGGGGTAGAGCGCGGCCTCAGCGAGGGGCTCTGAGACCTCGGGTCAGCCTCGGGCAGCCCCCAGCCCTGCCTTCAGAAACCTGGTTCCTGGGACCTCAGCACCCCGTAAGCACGGCTTCTCCGCGCACCCCCAGCCGTCCGCGTGGCATTCAGTGCCTCACTCGAGGCGCCAGGCTGAGGCGTCAGCTCAGCGGTGCCAGTTGGAAGCGTGGTGCTCAGGGACCCCAGAGAAGGGCAAGACGCGCACTCGGTGCCCGCTGTTAGCCTCCGGGCTGTGCGTTCGGGTGCCCTGGGGTCTCCTTGCTGTGCTTCCACCGAGGGTCTAGCCAAACGGAAGCCCGTCAGTGCCCCCGCCTGGTGCTGGGAGCCGTGAGGCGTCAGGACCCTGGGCCCCGACGGCCAGGGGTGTGCCTTGCGGTGCCGGCTGGACCCCATCACGCATCTGATGTCAGACAAGCGGCTATAGGCATTTCTCCTTGGCAGATTCTAGGGGTTCCAAGGAGTAGAATTTTCTGTCTCGGTCTGGAGGCGTTTGCAGCCTAAGGGGAGCCCGAGGTGTGTGGGCCCCCCTGGGGTGCGCTGGCCGGGCTAACGCCCTCAGCTCCTAGCACCCGGCTTCTCTCCTGAGACCCGTCCGCCCTCAGCAGGCTCCAGGAGCTGCTCAGACTTGGGGTGAGCCCGGCTGGGGGCAGAGCAACCAAGACCTGGGCCCCAGATGCTGTGTGACCTGCCATGGACGAAGTCCTCCTGAGCCTGGGAGGTGTGCGGCCCGGCCGGAGCCCAGCGTAGGGGAGGGGGCGGGAGAGGGTCACCTGCACGCCGGCCCGCCCGCAGCCAGGCAGCCGCTCCAGGGGAGGGCGCAGTGGCCCCCACGGGAGACGGGAGACGTAGGTGAGCAGGGAGTGGGGCGGCTTTGTGGGAAATGATGGTTTTTCACGTAGATTAAGCTGATGTTCAGCAGGAAGAAGGCGAGTCCGCCCCTTCCATCCCAGGCGCCGGCCCCGCACTGACCTTGAGGGGTGTCGGGGTTTCCGGGACTCTGGCTCCTGCCCCTGTGCCTTGCTTTGCGTCCACACAGAGCTTGCTGGGTCCGTGTGATGCTCCGGGCACGGCCCTTCCCCAGCCTGCTGCCCTGCGGGGCGTGGAAGGGCGACCACGACCCTGGCTGCCAGCTCCTCCTTCCTCCTCCTGGGAATCCTGGGCCCGGAAGCTGGGCGGGGGTGGGGTGGCGCGGAGATGGGCTCTGCTGGGTTGGGGTCGGGGTCGGGGTCGGGGTCGTGCGGGGAGAGCTGGCCGCACCCTGGTGGCGTCCCCAGGACTCTTCTCTGTCGCCGAGTCTCCGAGTGCCCAGCCCCAAGGCAGCTCCCCCTTCAGACTTCCTGCCACGCCCCAAGCAGGGGGTTAGCCCGGACCCAGATCCCAGTGGCCTGTGCCCTGGGCTCCGAGGCCCCCCTGGAAAGTGAGGTGTGGCACGAGGGACCTGGAGCCGGCTGGCCTCACCAGCCAGTGGCCAGTGGGTGGTTATTCCAGGAGCCTGTGGGTCAAGGGCGATCCCTGAACCTGCTGGGGTGCAGGAAGCTCGTGCCTCGTCCTGTGGCCCTGGCCTCTGGCCACCACCCAGGGCCTGGGGATGGATCTGCTGGCTCACCGTGTCCCCATCTGCTGGCTCACTGTGTCCCCATCGGGACAGAGCCACAGGGTTTTCATTCTGCCCGTCCCGTCGATCCCGGGAGGGCCCAGTGGGGAGGTGCTGTCCTGCCATGGGAGCTGCAGGGAGGGGACCTGGCAGGACCACAGTCAGCACCCGTCTCCCTGGGAAGCTCGGCCCTGCGCTTGCTGCCCTGCCTGTTTTCTCCACCAGAAGATGTGTATGGTGGTGTCCCTTCTGTCCTGTAGGAGGAGGGAAACCAGCCCAACCCCTGGGCGGGGTGGGGTGTCCTTGTTAGCCTCGGACCCTGCTGCCCCTGGGGCGTCCAGCCCCGTGCCCAGCTCTCCAACTGCTGCCTTGTCGCTCCAGGTGGCCTGTGAGTACGGCATGGTGCACGTGGTCTCCGAGACAGGGGGCCCCAGAGGCAAAGACTACTGCATCCTCTACAACCCGCAGTGGGCCCACCTGCCACACGACCTCGGCAAAGCGGTGAGTGCCCGCTGGGGCCCTTCCCTGTGGGGGTCGGCGGGCCTGGAGGGGCTCTGGGGTGCGGCCTCCACACTTGGGGTCGGCTCTGTCCTGCTGACTGACTGCCCCCTCTGCTCCCCAGCCTGGTCTCTGGAGGGGCTCTAGAAGTCTCATCCTGCAGGGACCCCCCTGGAGGACAGAGCAAGGGCCTCAGCTGGGAAGTCATTGGGGTGGGGGGGGGCTTCTGGTCCTCCTAACCTCTCTGGGCCTTGGCTTCCTTGGTCAGAATCAAAAGATGTCCAGGTGTTGTTGAGCGGCTCCCGCCAGGGGTCACTGGCCAAGCCCCCCGTGCTGGGCTGGGGCTGACTGGCTGAGGGGTCCTACAGGGATGAGGGGTGGGGCTGGGCCGGCGGGTGATTGTCCCCCTGCGGTCACCACTCCCACCTGCCATGGAGGCTGGGAGGGTTGCCAACGGACTCCCCCTCCCTGCCCCCCGTTAGCCTTGCACTTGGGTGTGTGCACAGGCTCGTGCAGATGTGTGTGTAGGCGACCCCCCATAGACTCTTCTAGATCAGCTGGTGTAAGCGCCACCTTCTCCAGTCTCTCCTACAGCTGCGGGACTGGACGGCCTCTGTGCTCTGCTCACCGCCCGACCTCCCCACCAAAGGCTTCAGCAACCAGATCCCGCTGGTGGCGCGGGGAAACTGCACCTTCTATGAGAAAGTGCGGCTGGCACAGGGCGGCGGGGCGCGCGGGCTGCTCATCGTCAGCAAGGAGACACTGGTATGGCCTCGTGGCCGTGCACTCAGGCCTCTCGGGGGGGGGCGCGTATCCCAGAGTGGTCCTGGGGGCTCTGGGGATGCTGGATCCCGTCCTCGTCCTCCTCCGGGGCCTCGGGGCGGAGCTCTGGGGGGTGACTCCTGAGGAGCAGGTGGCTGCCCAGGGTGGGCTGGCTCCTAAGCGACTTGTCCCCAGGTCTGCAAGTGAAGAGAGCTTTTCCTCCCTCAGCAGAGGGACAGACAGACACACACAGCCCCTTGGCGCCCTCCAAGAGGACTGGCTCTGCAGGCCGTGCGGTCGGAGTGGGCCTTGGTGAGCCATGACGTCCCTCCTGCATTCCTCGGCCCCCAGGTCCCCCCAGGAGGCAACAAGACACAGTATGAGGAGATTGGCATTCCCGTGGCCCTGCTCAGCTACAAAGACATGCTGGACATCTTCAAGGTGGGGTCTGCTGCCTCCTCCGGCCTGCAGCTGGTCCGGGGCCGTGAGTCCGGGGTGGGCAGGGGATCCAGGAGCAAGGCCGCCCACTGGGGGCTGGCAGGTGTTTGGTTCTTGCCACCACCAGTCACCAGCCTGCAACAGGGCAGGCGGTGCCACCGAGCGGCGGGGACGGAGAACCGGCCCCAGAGGTCAGAGCGCCCAGGCTCCCGGCCAGGCTGGCTGGCCCTGCTTGCGCCCAGCCCTGTCTGACCAGACGCCTGTGTTCACCCACGGTTTGGGGAGCCAGTTCAGGGGCAGGCAGCTTCGAGACACGAGCAGAAGGGGAATATTCAGTGTTTGTGGAAGCGTCTACACGTTTCCATCCTGACTGCAGCCTTCACAGCTCTCCCTAGAGAACCACTGTGGGCCCACTAGATGCTTCCCAGGCCACCTGCACGCTCCCACAGGCACAGACGCGTGTCCAGGTTTAGGGCTGGGTCCCCCACACGCAGGGTCCCCTCCGCCTGACCTCGTGGGAAGCTAGATCCACCAGAGTTGGTTTCTTTGGGGTGGGAGTGGCGGGTGAAGGCATGGGGCTCGGAGGCCCCCCGGACAGGCTCTCTGTGGGCCCCGCTCCATGTGTGGGCCGGCCTCGGCTCTCTGGGGTGACGGGGGGCAGGGGATGGTGGCCCCAACCCTGAGCTGTGGTGCATTCTCTGACACAGAATTTTGGCCGAGCAGTGAGGGCAGCGCTGTACGCCCCCAACGAGCCCATGCTGGACTACAACATGGTCATCATCTTCGTCATGGCCGTTGGCACCGTCGCGCTCGGGGGCTACTGGGCCGGGAGCCGGGATGTGAAGAAGTGAGTGCCCAGCACAGGGGGGTCCACGGGTGGTCCCAGTGCTGGATGAGGGGCGCTCCGGTCGCTGTGCATCAGAGCGGCTGTCCCAGCTTGGCTCTCGGGGCTGGGAGTGTTCCCGGCCCCTCAGCACCCGCTCTCGTGAGGTCCCTGGGGCCGGGGCAGGCTCTGGTTGAGGGCACAGCTGGAACATGCAGTGGGTGTGGAGGGGGTGCCCCTCGGCCCTGCCTCTCCGTCCCCGGGCCCTGGGCGCGTGGGTGCTGCGCCGGCCAGGAGGGTGTTCCCTGGACTCGTCTGTGCCTCCCCAGGAGGTACATGAAACACAAGCGGGACGATGGGCCCGAGAAGCAGGAGGATGAGGCGGTGGACGTGACCCCCGTCATGATCTGTGTCTTCGTGGTCATGTGCTGCTCCATGCTGGTGTTGCTCTACTACTTCTACGACCAACTCGGTGCGTCCCCTGGCTCACCCTGGGGAAACTGAGGCCCAGGTCCCCAGTCCACCGTAGTAGGGGAGCCTAGCGGACTGTGGGCGGGAAGCCCTTCCTCAGGGTGGGACAGGGGACCCCAGGCGGCCCCCTCCTCAGTGCCTGCCCTCCCCACAGTCTATGTGATCATCGGGATCTTCTGTCTGTCGTCGTCCACGGGCCTCTATAGCTGCCTGGCACCGTTGGTCCAGAGGCTGCCTTTCGGCAGGTGCAGGTAAGCCCCCCTGCCCGGCCCCTGCCCGGCCCCACACCCACGGCTCTGCTCACTCACACCCCACCCCGCTGCCTTTCCTTGGCCCGCCCCCGCTGGTTTCCGGCCTCCGGCCCCTAAAGCTCTAAGTGCTGCTTCCACGGGGCCACACACCCCCGTCCTACGGCCAGTCAGGCTGGGCTCCTGGCCTGGGGGGCAGGGCGAGCGGGGAAGTGGCTGTGGTTCCCTGGCCTCCGTCTCCCCACGTCCTGTTCGGCCCAGGCCCCATGGGGACGGCCTGGATGCCTGTCGGTCCTGGGTGGGGGTGCAGGGCGGGATCACGTGGCCGCACGCACTGGTGGTCCAGGCCGGGGCTGGGGGTGGCTCACCTGCCAGACGCCCGGTCTGGTTCTCACGGGCTGGTGGCCAATGCCGAAAGTCAGACGGGTGCCCGTGGGGTGAGCTGCCGCCCCGGGGTCCGCGGCAGGGGCCGCCACCCAGCAGCGCCCACCCCCGCTCCATTCTGCTCTGCCCTTGGGGGTCCCTTCTGGAAACACCGTAAAGGGGAGGAGGGAGGAGTGTTAACAGGGAAGGGGCAGTGGAGGGAGGGGCAGGGCGGGGTGGCCCTTCCTCAGCAGAGCCCGGGTGTGGGGGCAGGGGCTGCGATGACGCCCCTGACGGCCCCCCCAGGGTCCCCGACAACAGCCTGCCCTACTTCCACAAGCGCCCTCGGGTCAGCATGCTGCTGCTCGCACTGCTCTGCCTGGCCGTCAGCGTGGTGTGGGGAATCTTCCGGAACGAGGACCAGTGAGTGCCACCCCCTCCGCGGGCTGTCCTCAGACGCTCCCTGTCCCCATCCAGGCTGGGAGCGAGGGCCGTGTGGGGCCACCCGCATCCCGTGTCACTGGGTTTGTCCCGCTGCCACGTGAGCGGCGGTGATGGGCGTCTGGGTCTGGGATGCCGCAGACTCTCCCGGCCCAGGGTACCCCGAGCGGGGCCCTCCGGGGCGCCTGGGTGGGGGCTGCCGCCCCGCTGCCCCCGCCGTGGCGCCCAGGGCGCCGGGTGGTGCCGGGAGGCCGCCGCGCCGCTGCCCGCCCCTCACGCCATCTGGCGCTCCCTCTGAGCCTTTTCAGAGGCAGTTAACCGTTCTTGGCTGCGCTGCCGTTTGGAGCCGCGACAGATTTAATTGGCAGAAGGAAAACGTGAAAATATTTTGAGTCCTTTGTACACAAAGAGAACTCGAGCTCTCACAGCTAGATTCCAGCCAGGAGACTTGCTCCGGTCTGTAAACTCAGAGCGGGCCGCGTTCCCACCGCGTCCGGGCGCCCACTGGCGCTGCGAATCTTCTCTTTGTTCTTCACGGCCGCCCCAGCTGGGAGGGGTTTTCGTCCCGGTTTGATGAGTGACCCGGGGCAGGCGGGGGCGGCGGGGGCAAGCCTGCCGGATGCCTGTGGCCCCGCGGTGGTGGCTCCCTGGTGGTCCTGGGGTCACGCATTTGCCTCTGCGTCCCCTCTGCGTTCCAGGGGCCCAGAGGTTGGATGTGGAATCTGGCTGGGCGAGAGTTTTGCTTTTGTAAATTGTCTAAAAAATATTTTTGAAGAGAAATTTGAGTCCAGCAGCTACATGATGCCCCCGTGCCGCCCTGTGATGTGGGTGCAAGAGCTGCCCGGGTGTCGGATTGGGGTTGGGGGTCGCTGCAGCCCTGCTCCTGCCACTTGCTGCCCCCCTGTGCCCAGCGCCGTGAGGGGCCCGGCCCGGGCAGCTCGGGCAACTCAGCAGCTGAGGTGGCCGAGGAAGGAGCGGCCGGCGGGTCGTGGCTCTTGGCGGAGTCCCTGCCCGGCGGGTGACCGCTGCTCTGCCTTCCAGGTGGGCCTGGGTCCTTCAGGACGCGCTGGGTGTTGCCTTCTGTCTCTACATGTTGAAAACCATCCGTCTCCCCACTTTCAAGGTGAGGGTCCCGAGGACGTGGGCCCACTGGCTGGGGTGGGGGGGGTTGCACAGATGGGACCGTGCCGTGGGCGGACGGCGTCCCTGGGCGTCCCTGGGCAGTGTGGTCTGTGTGTCTCTGTCCCTCCTGTTGCCTCTCACATGGCAGCCCTGCCAGTGACCACCAGGCTGTGAGGATGCCCGGCACCCTGGCCCTGGGGGCGCTGCAGGCCAGGGCTCCTCCCGGGGCTGGCCTCTGTGCCGCAGTTAACTTGCTGCGGGGTGTGGGCAGCCGGCCGAGGCCACTGGACAGGACTGAGAAGTACGCGGGAAGACGTGATGGGCTCATCACCCCACACCCACAGCGACAGGGCGCACAGTGTGTGTCGCTGAGCCCCGTGCCTCCCAGCGTCCCCGTCCCAGGAACCTAGCAGCCTGGCCTGGAGCAGCTTCCAGGGCTCGTCTCCTGTGGTCCCAGGGGCGGGACTGCATTTGCTCAGTTTCCCCGCCTGGCTCTGTCCCAGTGGGCCCACCTGAGCCCTGGGGGGGCGTGCAGGGTGGGACACGTCCTGGGGGTCAGTGTGCCCGGGACTCTCTGGCCCGCTGCCTGGCCCATCAGGATGTCGTCCGCCCCCCTAGGCCTGCACGCTGCTGCTGCTGGTGCTCTTTGTCTACGACGTCTTCTTTGTGTTCATCACGCCCTTCCTGACCAAGGTGGGCGCCCCTGCCCGTGCCCCGCTGCTGCACCCCCTGCTCCTGTGCCCCCTCCCTGACTCGGCCTCCCCTTTGTTAGAGCGGGAACAGTATCATGGTGGAGGTGGCGACCGGGCCCTCGGACTCGGCCACCCACGAGAAGGTAGGGAGTGGGCCCATGGCCCAGGCGCTGCCCCGAGGTGAGTGGTGGGCTTGGCCGGGTCCCCGAGACGGCTGCCTCCCTGCCCCCCCAGCTCCCCATGGTCCTGAAGGTGCCCAGACTCAACGCCTCGCCACTGGCCCTGTGTGACCGGCCCTTCTCCCTGCTGGGCTTTGGGGACATCCTGGTGCCAGGTACTGGGGGGGGGGGGCCACGCTGGGGTGGGGGGGTCCTTGGGAGCAGGGGAGCTGGGCAGCCCCTCGGGCTCCCGTGTTGCTGTGGTTGCACCTGCGGTGGACCCCTCCTCCGAGCCCTGAGCCGCCTCCGCGGGGCCCTCCTGAAGCAGCAGCTGCTGTTGCCGGTGGTGTCACGGGCTCGGGCCTGGCATCCGGCCCACGGCCTTTCTCCTGCAGGGCTGCTCGTGGCGTACTGCCACAGGTTCGACATCCAGGTGCAGTCGTCCAGGGTCTACTTCGTGGCCTGCACTGTGGGTAAGCGCCCTTGAGGCCGGCCCCAGGCGTGGGCTCACATCGCGTCCTTCCTTGCGCCTCCCCATGACTCTCCTTCCACATCTTTCCGTTTTTGTCCGTCTCCTGTTTATTACCTTGACGGCCAAAGCCATTTACGCAGAAGTGACCCTTCCCCTGGAGCCCTGGTTGCTCCTAACGTTTCCCAAACCGCTTGGCTTGCCTGCCTCTGGTCAGCGCCTCGGGAGGGGCTTGTCAGTGCGCACGCAGGGCCCCCTCCCTTTCCCAGGCCAGAGGCGCTGTGACTCCTCATCTGCCCCCGGGAGGGGGGATGTGCACAGGCCCCACAGCCAGCCCAGCGGACAGGAGGCCCCAGGGCCACCCAGCTGACCATCAGGCTGTCGCCGTCTGTCCCCCACTCGCCATCCCTGAACCTCCTCCTGGTGCAGTTGTGGGGGTTTTGTGTGCGAGAACCGGCCGTTGAGATCGTTTCTGTGGTCCTCGACCTTGAAACTGCCGACCTTTTATAGGCAGCCAGTCTTTATCCCTCTGTAGTTTGCTTCTGTCGAGCCGCTTCTTTTGGACGCGGGGTAAGTGATGACTAGAGATTTCTCCGCACGGTCCTTCCGCTGGGGCACCCGAGGTGAGGGTCGGACAGGAGCCACGGGCGGAAGCAGGCGCTGGAGACCAGCTCGTAGCTGCTTCCCGAGGTGTTTGCAGGTTGCGGTTGCAGGACCAGGACGAGGAGCGGCTGCGTCCTGCCCACGGGGTGGCACCTGCCGACGCCGGGCTGTGTGTGCGTCAGCACTCGTGCCGCCCAGGGAGCAGGCCGCGGACCCCTCAGCCCGCAGAGCCTCTCCAGCTGTTTCACGAGAGCAGGAACATCCTTCTGAACGATCACAGTTCTCTTATTGATCAGATTTTTCTGATTTTGCTCACGTGTTGCTCTTACTTAGAATCACCTTTCTAACGAGCTGCCTCTGTGGGCCCAGACCCCGGGTGCACCTGCCACCTGGCCCCTCCCCTTGGCTGCCCTGTTGCTCCTGCCCGATGCCTGGTGGGCGCTCTTGCCCTCCCTCCTGCCTGACCACCCCAGTGGGGCGGGTGGAGCGTGCGTCCTGGAAAAAGCCAGCGGGTCTGTGTGTGTGTGCGGAGGCACCGACTCCCCTGCCCGCCCCAAGTGCTCCTCGGTGACACTGCCTCCCCGACTTTGTGCCCTTGCGTTGCTGTCCACCGGCATTCCTGTGACGGGCAGGTGTGGGGCTGCCGGTGTGGGGCTGCGGGGCCGCCGCCAAGGTAACACCATGCCTGTTTCTCTCTAGCTTACGGCATCGGCCTCCTGGTGACGTTCATGGCGTTGGCCCTGATGCAGCGCGGCCAGCCTGCCCTCCTCTACCTGGTGCCCTGCACACTGATCACAAGCTGCGCCCTGGCGCTCTGGCGCAGGGAGCTGGGCATGTTCTGGACGGGCAGCGGCTTTGCGGTGAATACCAGTTTGCTATGACTGTCTGCGAGCAGTAGTAACCTAATATGCCCTAACTAGAATTAAAGTTGAGTAAAACCTCGTAGCTTCACCACTAAGCCCCACAGCCTGTGTCCCGTGGTCAGCGTTCCCCGTTCCCAGAAGGTCTTGCTTTGGTGTCGTGTCCATGTGGCCTGGACGGCTCAGAGCCGTATAGCGGAGGGGACGTGCTTGTGGCCGTCCCTCGGGCGAGGCTCGAGGACGGTGCTAGCAGCCCTTTCTAAGGGAGCCAGCCCCAAGGGGCAGTAGCACCGTCTGATTGGACGTTGGCTTCTGGCCGTTTCCGCCATCGGGAATGCCTTGCCGAGCCTGGGGGGTGGAGCCGTCCTCGGGCCCGGGTGGAGGAGGGCAGGGAGGCCTGAGAGCGGGCGTGTGCCCGCAGAGCAGCTCTGCTCAGCACGCTGCCCGCACGGGCGGCTCCCGGCTCTGTGGCTGCTACTGGTGTTGCGACAGGAGAGGAGGGCGAGGAGGCCCCCCTTAATGTAGCATAGAGCACTCGAAGTGAAGGGACAGCACTGGCCTGCGGTGCAGGGGTGCGGCTGCCTCCCTCTGCCCCAGTGAACCCAGGAGCTCGAAGGGCCCTCGGCATCTCCGAGCGTGACCCGCGGCCCCCAGGGCAGTGCCTATTGAGCGTGGCGTGACTGTGTCAAGTTTGATGGAAGTTGAGACGCGTGTCCTCTGCGTCCGGGCGATGCTCAACAGCGTGGGGCTCCAGGTCACCCCGAATAATTAACCAGATGACGTGACCCGATCACGGGGCCTTGCGCCCTCCCCCTGGGCCCTCGGGGAAGCTTCACCGCCCACCGCCCTCACAGGGTCTCAGTCCCGAGCAACGTTGGCCTCGCCGTGGAGCAGGTGGCTTGGTTCTGGGAGGTTCAGGAGGTGGGGCCCAGCCGGAGATGTTGGCGTCGGGGTTTCTGCCCGGGTAGCTGTCCCGTGGCCCGTCTGCTGCTGGGACCCCAGGGACGGTGACCCCTCCCCTGCCCCAGGCTGTCCCCCCGAGGCTCCCTGGCCCCGTCCCACACCTGACTGGGGCGTCTTCTCTTACAGAAGGATCTACCTCAGTCTCCTTGGGCTCCGTCTTCAGCCGACAGCCCGCAACCTCGGAAGGACTCAGACACCGGCCTCTCCCAGCCGCCTCCAGGTGAAGAACTGGCCAAATGCCCCCTGCCCCACGGGCAGCCCCCGGAGTTGTCTGTGCCCGAGGAGACCGGGGCCGGAGCATCCCCCCAGGAGCCTGTGAGCCCAGAGGGCCACGCCCCTGAGCCCACGAGCGTGGTAGGCACCTCGGCCTAGGAGATGGCGCAGACTCGAGGGCCTCGCTGCTGCCCCTCTGCACCGAGAGACCCTGACACAGGACCTGCCCGGCCCCCCAACTTGGTGCTCCGGTCTGGCCGACGCCCCCGCTCTTCCTCCTTGAGCCGAGCCCAGCTGCACCCCGGACCCTCTCCAGCCCTGCTCCCAGCTCGCGTGGCTGCCGCGAGTCCCCTCGTGCCCCCACCCCAGCCGACGAGGTCACCGTCATGCGAGTGCCCAGCTCCATGGTCTTGCCATCGACTCAGTTTCCTCGGAAAGGGCAAGAAGCTCCACCTACGACCGCCCACGGCTGCAGATCCGCCCACATTTGGTGCTTCTCACGCTGCCGCTTCCCTCAGGTTCTCGCCGGCGCTGTGCCTGGGCCGGAGGGCAGGGTCTGCCTCCCTGAGGTTGCGGCCTTCCCACGGACGCTGGCCAGCAGAGCCTCTGCAGTCCGGGTGGTCTGCACCCCCACGTCCGCACTCAGGCCACGCTCAGGCTGCAGGCCGGCTGGCCGGGGTCAGACCTGCGTTTGGCTCAGCAGGGGCCGCAGGCAGCGCCCGCCCCAGCGGGACGCACAGTGGGCCCCCCGCCTCTTCCATCAGCCCGGACCTGCGCTCCAGCTTCTCCGCCTGCTAATTAACGGCCACAACTTGTTGAACTCGGGGTAGTGTTGCCTCTTGGGTGTGAGTCTCTGGGACCACCCTGGTTGGGGCAGCTGGGCGCCAGGCCGCACCCTGCACAGCGGCTGTGGCTTTTCTGTGGTCTCCATTTTATATTTCAGCTTAGAGGGACTCGGGGGGGAGCCCACCCTTCTTCTCATGGCATCTGCACGTCTCCACCCCACCCCAGCCCGGCCTCTGGGAACAACACCGGCCAGGCGAGCGCACTTACTATTTAAACCCTGGGAGCTTCTGGAATGTGGAGAATATTCTGGAACTGGCATTTTGTCTTCTACCTCACTGACAGGGTTCTCCGAACGTCACGATGGAAATGCTGCAGTAGGACTGGCCTCGGGTCAGTGGCCCCCATGCCGTGGCACTCGCCTGTCCACGCAGCCTCCAGACTTGAGCTCGGAAAGACGTTTCCACTGACGTGAAATGAAGGCACAGACACCACCACCACCACCCCTCCCCCCGCCATGCGGTCCCAGCTCTGTCCCCGTCTGTCTGCTCTCAGTTGTAGACAGCAGGCTCGGGGTCAGCCATGATCCATTCCAAAAAATACCAGCGCCAGACAGACTCACACACAGTCTTTGTCAGCCATGCTGCTCTACGGAGAAATGATGTTGATTTAAAAAAAAAAAAAGTCTTCCACCTGTTTTATGTGTGTCCTTTAAAAAAACAGGTGACCTGGGTTCTGGAAGACCAACTGGACCTGCCGGCCCCCCTGAGAGCCCCCAACTCGGAGGCCAGGCCGGGACACAGGGTCTCAGCGGACCCGTTCCCACATCGACCCGCGTGTTCCTCTAAGCCATTTTGTACGACAGCGTAGAGCCAGGATTCTCCGTTTTCCGTGTTTGACAAACATCAAGGGATTCGAAGGCGGATGTTCGCTCCTGAAGTTTCCATTTGCAGTCTTTGCCTCGCTTCTGTTTGAATCTTACAATTAAACACAGCTTTTGATAGTTGCCGCTCAGCCCTCGTCTTTTCTGCGGCGGGGCAGGTGCCCCAAGGTGTGGGAGCCAGTCTACGCCGCCTGCCGCAGCGCTCAGCTTGGCTGTGATGAGGCCAGCGGCCGTGCGGGGCCGGGGCCTGGCGGGAGCTGTCTGCCCCCGTGTCTCCGGTTCCGCTAGCTCCTGCGTGATTATCTGAGATGCGCGGTGGGGAGTCGCCTGTTGCGGGCCCGCGGATGTCATGTGAAAAGCCGGCTGGCCGGTGTCCAGGGTCTTCCAGGCCACCCGGTCACTGCCACAACTCGTCGGCCCTACTGCTGTAGCCCAGATGTCACAGCGAATGGCAAATGGGCGTGGCCACGGCCAACACTGCCGGCCGCGGGGATGTTGGGTTCCGTGTGGTTTTCACAGGTTGTGAAGTAGCTTCCTCTTATTCTTCAAGGGGTCAAAAAGGTGAAGCTTTGTCTTAGCGAGGGGCTGCAGAGGTCGGCAGCCCCCCGGCCCCTGGCCCTGCCGCCCATGGTGTCGGGTGGCGGCCACCAACCTCTCGTCCACGGGAGAGAAGGCCAGGTTCCAAGGCCACTCCCACCTGGCTGCGTGGGGCCGGCCGACACTCAGAGACGTAGTGACTCCTCCCAGGCAGCCCTGGGCCCAGGTGCTCGGGTGGTGCCGGGCCCTGGTGGGCGCACGCCTTGGCCCGGCGGCCCCCCTCCCCCTGGACTGGCGGTGGGCCATGGCTCTGTGAGGGCGGCGAGGTCAGCGGGTGCCCAGGGGAGGGCCCCACGCGCTGGTTTTCACAGCGGGGGTGGGAGCAGGAGTCGGTGCTGGGGGGGCCGTGTTCCTGCTCTGCAGCGGGCACAGCTCCGCGCTGGCGTGTGAGCTCCGGGCTCGGAACGGTGCTGTGAGGACGGCGGTGTTCTCTTACGAGCTCCAGAGCTTACTTGTTTCTCCTTAAGCGTTCATCCGTCCATCTTCGTCCAGTGCCTACTGTGTGCCAGGCCCCCGGCCCCACCTGCGCCAGGTGGCTGAGCCTGGGGAGGGAGGACAGGCCACGAGTCCATGCCTGCCTCTGTCTTCGGGGACAGTATGCATCAGGGGAGGCCACCTGGAGGAGACGGGTGGGGCCTTTAGTGAGGAGATGAGTGCGGGTGGTGGGAGGGCCAGGGCTCGCTGGCCACGTGGGGAAGGTATGGCCGGTGTCACCCAGAGGTGAGGGGGCAAGAGTCCTAGAAAGGGCTCAGCGCTGGCTGCCCTAGGGAGAGGAGGCCGGCTGCTCCCCACTGTCCTGCCTCAAGCAGGGGCGCAGCAGCAGGAAGAGAGCCCACAGCTCTGGAGTCCTGGCCTACATGCTGGCGCCCAGTGACCTTGGTCATGTCACTGGCGTCCCTCTGGGGCTGTAACTGCATCTTCAGCCAAGAGGTGTGACAGCTGCTCCTGCAGGGCCTCCCTCCACGCACTCAGGAAATGGGACCACGCTGTGCGCAGCTAGGACCGGAGGGATCGCTCCCTCTCCAGCACTGTGCTCGGCTCCCCAAGGCTCACAGTGCTTCCCACAAGAGTAAGGTCGCACTTAGGGCATGAGGACGTTGCCACCAATGGTGGTAAAACAGCTGGTCCTGAAGACAGTTCAGAAACTCCCCAAAGTGAGCAAAGATGATGGTTCTGACGAAGGGCGTGTTCTCCTGGGCCAGGGCGTGGAAGCAAGCAGGGGGAGGCTGGGCTGCCGCGGGCTGTGGAGGCTGCGTCCCAGCAGAGGCCGGGCCACTGCCCCAGCCCGACCATGAGAAGCACACCGACCCCCGACTGCGCCCGGCATCAGGTTGGGGGCCCCCCAAACCCGCCGCCCCGAGGGCCCCGGGCACAGAGCGTGTGTCAGGGACACCAGGAATCTGAATAAAGTGTGGATGTTGGTTAATAATAACGGGTCCTGTCGGTTCATTGGTTGTGACCCTGTGGCACTAACGTTAGGGTGGGAACCGGGCGGAGCTCGGGGGGCCCAGGGACCATCCTCAGCCTTCCCTGTACATCTAAAGCTGTTCCACAGCAAGTTTATTTTGTGAACTATCCGGTTATTCACACACACCCTGCGGGGAGCTGTCTGCCCAGCGTCGGCCCCTGCCCCTGCCCCGCGGCCTTGGCCTCCCCTGACACCTGTGCGGGGGCACCTGTGCGGCTCCGAGGGCCCCGCCCCCGCCCGCCCCGCCCCGCCAGGTGCCGCCCCCGGCCCCGCCCCGGCTCCCTGGTGCCCGCGGCTCGGGGCTCCCGCTCCAGCTCCGCAGGTGGCTCCGCTGGCGGCCTGGGCGGGTCGCGGAGGTGAGTCGGGGTCTCCGGAAGGGGCGGGGGCGGCCGCAGCCGCTGTGGAGCGGAGCCCAGGGGCGCGCGTTCCGGCCCCGGATGCTCCATCCCCGACGCGGCCGGGAGCCTGGCGGGGGAGCCTGGGGGCGGCGCAGCAGCGCGGGGAGCACGGGGAGCAGAGCCCGTGAGGGCTGCGGGGCCGCCCGGAGCCGCTCTGCTTCCCCCGCCCCCGGCCAGCATCCGAGTGCCCGGGAGCACAGATGGCGGGGTGCCGCGGGTCCCCGACAGGGAAGGGTGCCTGCCGAGGGGGCCCTCTGACTCCACGGTGCCACCAACGCAGGCTGTTGTCAGGGCTGTGCGGCGGCGGGTGGGGAGCTCGGCTGGGCGGTCCCTCCGCCACCCCCATGTCACGGCCACCCTGACCGGCCACCCTGACCGCCCTGGGCCCCCCCCGGGGGGCGCGGTGTCTGGCGGTGCCGGAAGCTTTGGGGACTGTGTTCGCATCAAGCACAAGCCCTCCAGCCCGAGTACGTGCTGGGCTTTGGAGGGAAAGCCTCCGGGAACCCGCAGGTAAGTGGATTCGTGTTTTGTGCATCCCGGTGGCAGGACGTGGCCACGCACACCCCTCAGCCCCGGGCAGGTGCGGGTGTGCGGGATGGTGCATCTGTGTCACCGTGCGACCGTAGGTGTGAGGGTGCATGGCAATAGCGCGTGACTGTGCGTGGTCGTGCCACCGGGTGTGTGTCACGTGTGAGGTTGTGTGTGTCTGCATTTGCAATTGCACTGGGAGCCTGTGTGAGCTCCTGCTGGCCGTTGTCCGAGCTGGTGCACAGGGTAGGGGGTGGGAACTCCTCCTGACAGATTGCCCCGTCTGGAGGATGGGGTTCACCACCACCGCCATGCACGCAGATCTGGTTGGGGCACAGCGGGAGGCCCCATGAGCACGCTGCGGGCCCCTTGTCCCACCAAACAAGAAGTCATGCCCCTGGCGCTGGTCCGACGGCAGCGCCTACTTGAAGCCAGTGAACCCCGCAGCTCGTTCTGGCGCCGAGCCCCAGGCTGGTGTGTGTGTGTGTGTGTGTGTGTGTGTGTGTGTGTGTGTGTTGTGCAAAGTCCACACAGTCTGCAGAATTGTGAATGCCCAGGGTGTGCAGCACCGAGCCGGAGGGTCTTCAGACAGGGTGCCGGGCGGCCCTCTGCTCAGGCTGGTGCCTCCTCGTGGGAACCGCCTGCCTCGAGTGGCTGGAAGAGAAGAAACCACTCCTGTGACCACGGCCGTCCGTGGAGAGCCTGAAGCGGTAGTGGCCGAGCCGAGGCCCTGGGAGGCACCCAGAGGGAGAGGCGGGTGCGTTGCCCGTCCTGGAGGAGCACAGAGGCAGGGGAGGTGGGTGCCCACGTCTGGGCTTCCTTCTCATGTGTGTGGGCCCAGGAAGGAGAAACGGGCAGGGTGCGTGTGGATGCGGCTGTGGGGTTCTGAGACATGGGCTCTCACGGGGCCAGGTTGGGGTGGCTGGGGCCCCGGGAGCTGAGCCTGCGTCGAGCTCCTGGTGCCATCTCCGTGGCTCACCTGCCCCACCTGGACAGCAGGGTCCTTGGGGGGGGGCAGTGGCCCACTTCATGACAAGGAGCCACCAGCAAAGTGGAGGAAATCCCTGGAATGTTAAGGACCGTGTGTGTATGGAAGAAAGGAGGGGCGGCAGAGAGAGGGAGGCAGAGACGCGGAGAGGAGACAGGGAGTCTGTCCGAGCCTCAGTTTCTTCATCTAGAAGATGGGCGTCCTCATGCCGCCGCTCCCCCGCCGGGGGTCCCTGGGAGGCCCCGGTCAGTGTCAGGCCTGGCTTCTCCTCTTTTCCTAAGCTCACCCCATTCCCAGAAGCGGAGATGGGGACACGGCTGTTCCCAGCCTTGTGGTTTAACATCCGTGCCTCTAAACGCGGAGGATGACACAGTCGGGGCGCTGGCTCATGCCTGCCTTCGGCTCTGTCGCTTCCCCTGCTTTACCTCTCCTCGTTAAAAACCACGATCTTGGAATAATTTCAGTTGCAAAGACGGCGCGGAGGGTCCGCAGGTGCACTGCACCCAGTTTCCCCCGTGGGAAGGCCCTCGGGTGCGCAGTGCCAGGGCGCAGAGCACAGGTGGCGTGGCCCCGGCGCTCTTGGCGGCCTTGTTCAGGGCCCCCCCAGTGCTCGGGGCTCCGGCCTGGGACTCCCAACCCGGCATTTTAGGACCTGAATCAACTTTACTTTACATCACACAAGCTGTAAGTCGTGGGAGGTTTCTTTTTTTAATCAGCGAGTCTTTATCCGCTTTCCCGGGTATCACCCGTGTGTATCAGCTCCCCCCCCCCTCCGTCCCCTGTGGTCTTACTAATGAAGAGAGGACAGGATATCATCGCTGCAGATAGTTTTCTCACAAACACCTCTTCCCATGAAAACCTAACAAAAAGTCCACAGATAAAAGGGGGGGAAGAAGAGTCGGAGCTTATTAAATTTCCCGCAGGTTCGCTGAGCGATTTATTTCACGAAGTGGGGGTGGCAGGTGGGGAGGGGTGGGGCCCCAGGAGCGGCTGCGGGGGGACAAAGGATGCTGCGGTCCACAGGCTGGAGCTGGGATGCGAGGGTCCCGGTGCCGGGTGGCATCTCTGAGGGCGGGGGCAGAGAGGAGGGTCCGAGGTGGGGAGCCCTTGGGGCTTCACCTCCGTGGACGGTTGGCCACGGTGG